TGTATAATAATGGGGACGGGATTGAAAAAAATATGGATAGAGCTGTTTATTGGTACGAGAGAGCGGCGGAAAATAACAATACAAAAGCAATTTATAATCTAGGACTTTGCTACTTAAATGGAGATGGAATAGGAAAAAATGCGAATAAAGCATTTGAAAATTTCGCAAAATCAGCCGATGGAAATCATGTAGATGGAATATTTATGTTGGGATATTGCCATCAAAGAGGTATCGGGACCGATGTTGATAGACAAAAAGCGTTTAAATTGTATCAAACCGCTTCCGAATTTGGTAGTAGCGAGGCGCAATATAATCTCGGATTAATGTATATAAATGGGGATGGAGGTGTAAAAAATATGGATAAGGGTTTTGAACTTTTTCAAAGATCGGTTGATGAGAATTACATAGACGGTATATGTATGTTGGGATATTGTTACGATGTAGGTATTGGAACTAACATTAATAAGAAAAAGGCTTTCGAATTATATCAAAGAGCTGCTAATTTAGGAAGTCAAACCAAATCTGTATCACATGATTCTATCGGTGATAAATCAATAATTGAATTACCTATTTCACCTATTTCATCGCCAATTACTAATATCAAGAAGATTATAAGCTTAACAACTGATAAGCAACAAATGATTCGACAATTTAAGTTAAATCATGACCTGATCTTGAATAGATCCAGTATACAACCAAGTAAACAAGCTTTAGTTGATAATGGTGATTTTGATTTTGATATAAGTTTATTTAAAAAAGAACCTTTAGTTTATACTAGTATAAATGATTCCTTAGGTTTGATTAACAATAATAATGTTGCTGGTAGTAAAAATCTATCAGATATTTGTATTAATTTTCCTATTGCTGAAATCAAATACAAGGGTAATCTGTTAAAATCCGCTTCAAAATATACATATGATGAAAAAACATTACAAGACATGTATGGTCATTTCCTTGCAATGAAGTTCTTAGTCGGCGGTCAATTATTCATCAAGGGTATTAATTCAACTGCAACAACACAAATCGACATTTTAAAATTTGATTTATTCAGGGCATATTATTCAGCTAAATATTCGAGAAATATTCCATTCGATAATTTATTTGATTTGAATCTTCTACCAAGAATTGAAACATTAGATGGGAAATTACTATATACTCATGAAGAATTATCCAATTGGATGAATAATTTGTATCAGAAGAAAGTGATTGAATTAATTTCTTATGAAGAACTCATTCCCATTTCTCAATTAACGAGCAGCAAATCATTAGACAACTTTGAGAATTTTAACGAGCTAAAACTCGGAATCGCCAATTTTGACAAGAAATTAAGTTTCGAAGATTGGGTTGGTGATTCATTACACGATAACTTAATGAGCTGGGCTAGTAACTTTCACCTTTTTCAGGGACTAATATTTAATAAAAATAATGAAATAGAAATCAGCAAGAAAATTGCCATTAATTTTATTAATGAACTTCCTAAAGTCAATCCAAGTGATAAAAATTATTTGAAAGTGATCAAGCCGTCAACAAAATTAGAAGTTAATTTGATCTCTAATAATATTTTTACAATTAAAAATTTACATTCTTTTCCATTTATCAAAAGTAATGTTAAAGGTTATGGAAATTATAACCATATTCTTATCAAATTTGAAGAATACGAAATTTTCCTAAATAAGGATAATATAAACCCTACAAAAGAATTTGAAGAAGCAATAGAAAAAGCACTTGATAGTATGAATCCATTTGAAGCTTTACAAAAAATATTTGATGAATATGGTCATTTATTTCCACAAAGAATTGTTTTAGGAAGATCCCTTAAAAATATAACGTCAAATAATTCTTCCAATAGTATTATTGAACATATTGACTTAAAACCATCAATATTTGAATCGATAAAACCACACTTAGACAAGTTGAACATTTCATATTTGTTAACACAAAAAGGAAAAATCGTTGAAGAAAATAATTGGTCTAACTGGATCAAAAATTCAAAAAATTTAGAAATTATTGAATTTGACAATATTGTTTCTTTCTATGAAGTTCTTAAAGCAGTGCAACGAAAAAAAATAGATGATATATTAGTAAATGATTTTAAAATAATAATGACAGGAATTACTGATCTACGGGATTTAGATAACAAAAATGTCGAACATTATAAACGTATTAATGTGGAACCAAGATTGAAAGATGATGATTATAGAGTATTTGGATCAATTATTACAAAAAATTATTCAAAATTGAAAGAATTTTACGTGAATTTTGGTTTATGTGAGTTTAACGGATTTTATGCACTAATAAGCAAATTGATCGTTGAAACGAGTATCAATATAGCGGAATGTTATGTTTTATGGATGGTTGTTGGGAATCCTTCAAAGTTATCGGCTTTTAGTCCAAATAATCGGGAATGCAAAGTCAAATGTTTTGAAAAATCTTTTACTTATCAGCCTAATAAATCAAACTATAACATCGAGCTTCCTCTAAAATTATCTCATGGAAATGTCATTTTCGTTCATACATATGATTCATCGACGAATTATGAACATATAGTTAAGTTAGATTCATGGAAAGATAGTGCCATTAATATTCAAATGGTCAAAGCAACAAATGACTCTATTGATATAAATTTATCTATTTGTATTTTAACTTCGGGTCATAAAAAGTTGAAAATTGATAATACGAATGAAGTAAGTTCTGAATGTTCATTCGATTTACTTGGATATATTTTAACAGCAGGCTTTTATAATGAGAACTAATTGAAGATATTGAAAATATCTTTTGTTATTTTCGTGTTCTTAATTTTAATTTTGAACGATTATATATATATTTTTTTGTATTACTATATTATAAAATAAATTTTCTATTATATTAAATATGATTGCACGAAACTTTTGGAAAGAATGAATAATATCGCTATCTTCGAACCTATAAAAGTTCACAGAATAAATATTTTGATGAAAATTAAAGATGGATTGTGATAACCTTGCAATTAATTAATTAATATAAACACATTTAAAGATAGATATAAATAATGTTTTGATTTAATCAGCAGCTGATAGCTGAGTAGCTTTACGAAACGAAATTCGTTAGTCATAGGGTACTGTTTAAATGAAACCCTCAATAATTATAGAAACAGAACTAAATAACGCGTGATACAACCGATTTTTCAACCATCAAAAAAAATTGAATCTACTGCAAATGGGTACTAATCGCAGAAGATAAAGATGTTTAAATTTAATTGACCGTAGGGCGCCCCTTACCTAAATCCAATGTGTTGGATTTATAGGTAGGCACAAATGATAGATAAAAATATCAATTTGTATACTTATCATCATTATATAATTATGTAAACGCATGGAAAAATATTTGTGGATGAATTTCAATAATTGAAAAGACTAATAAATGAATGTTGAACGAGAAGTAGAAGAAAAGTGACCGAATATCATGAAATATCTTCCTTATCTGAAGGAGAAAATAATATAACTGAATTGTATTTCTATATATGAGATCTGTAATTTCTGGAAGACATCAACCCACATTGTTTAAGAAATTTGAAACAGCGGATCGTGAGTTCACAATTGTGTCTTATATCGGAAATGATATCAATGTCTCTATACTTCTTCCAATCACAATTAAAGCACTTTATTAACCACATACAAGAATGATACATTCCAAATGGAGTATTTTCCTCTAGTAATGTGAAGATGAAGGATAAAACAATCGGTCAATTCAAATATATTCTTAGATATATACAGTATTTCAACTAATTTGATTATTTATATCTTATTTGATGAAAATGTTCCAAGAAAAGAATAATTCACTAAATGTTTTTGCTATAATGGCCTAAGTCAGGATGGCTATTTACAACATTATTAGCAACGATTGGGATGAAAACCTTGTCACATTTACATAAAAAAGGATGTGAATGATCATGGGCATATATAGCACACCTGCCTAATAGATAGCGTGCAGTAGATCATTCTTAATTTTGTCGTGTTATTTTATTATTTTTATTTTTTTTAAGTTGAATTTCAAGAAAAAGAAGCATAAAAGGTGAAGTTTCGCTGGATTTTAATGAATTTATTTGACATACAAGAATTGATAGTATTTTAGGTTTACATAGTGAACTTCAATAAATTTTTGTATACTGTATATTAATATATTTATATTTGTATCATTAAATTTCGCATCATTAATTATACTGGGCGGGTTCATGTTGTCATATTATTAAGTCTAGGCCGAAATTTTAATACTTAAAGTTTCGGGCCGGGCTTCAAATTTTAGACTATACAGGCCTCTAGCGTGCAGTTGATAATAATATTTCGTAATGCTATGTACAGAGGGTGGACAAAAGTTTCCGGACACTTTTTCACCAAATATAAAACTTATAATTCCTTAGCATTAATAGTAAA